AACCTAACCTAAACTAACTTTATTTATACTGGATAGCTCTATCAGTTTTAAACTGTTCTTCCTAGAGGTCCAGTAAGGATCGTCTCTTATTGATCCAGTGTTACTACAGGAGGAAACCTAAACTAAACTAACTTTATTTATGCTGAATAGCTCTATCAGTTCTAAACTGTTCTTCCTAGAGGTCCAGTAAGGATCATCTCTTATTGATCAGTGTTACTACAGGAGGAAACCTAAACTAAACTAACTTTATTTATACTGGATAGCTCTATCAATTCTAAACTGTTCTTCCTAGAGGTCCAGTAAGGATCATCTCTTATTGATCCAGTGTTACTACAGGAGGAAACCTAAACTAAACTAACTTTATTTATACTGGATAGCTCTATCAGTTCTAAACTGTTCTTCCTAGAGGTCCAGTTACGAGCATTCCTTATAGTTCCAGTGTTACTACAGGAGGAAACCTAAACTAAACTAACTTTATTTACACTGGATAGCTCTGTCAGTTCTAAACTGTTCTTCCTAGAGGTCCAGTAAGAGTATTCCTTATAGTTCCAGTGTTACTACAGGAGGGAACCTACAGTGTTAGGTGGCACTATTCTCACAAACAATCAGACAATTACATATTGCAGGAATCACTCCCAGTCCCAGAAATGAAAGAACACTAACCACGAGCCACACTTGTTGACATAATCCGATACCATACCTGTAGTTTGTATTGGCTTCTACATCCCCAAACCAAACTCTCAAATTTGCTGTAAAGTTCTGTCCAGTGAGTTCCAACATGGCCACATCGCCTCCTCCATTCAGCTCAAGCCTTGAGACCACAGGCACTGGAGTGATAGGGCATGATATCGGACCCATGCCTTCGTAGAATGTGTACTCCGCTCGGTCTAGAACGAGAGAAGATATCTGAAAATGAGATACTGCAGTTGAAAAGCTGCCGTGAAAAAACACCACATTAATTACCTGTGCTGATAATCGTCCACGAGGCTCCGTCGTTGATCATTTCTTTTCTCGGATCTTTTGGACAGGGAGTCGACTAAATAATAGAGAAACAGATATCAGTACAAGAAACATATACTGGATAGCACTATCAATTCTAAACTGTTCTCGCTAGAGGTCCAGTAAGAGTGATCTCTTATTGATCCAGTGTTACTACAGGAGGAAACCTAAACTAACTTTATTGGTACTTGATAGCTCTATCAGTTCTAAACTGTTCTCGCTAGAGGTCCAGACAGTCCAGTAAGGGCCATCTCCTATTGACCTAGTGCTAACCCAAATACGACTAAATGCAAAAATGCAATAAAATGTGAACATTTACCTGAAATTGAATGATACGTTCTTGGGATAAACACAGATACATCCGTTCCGTGTCTTTCATATAGAATGCGACCTGTTAATCAACAATATATACATGTAGTTTTCTATAAAGATTTTTAGGTAAATGTATGTTTCGTATTTGTGTCAATTAAGTAGTATGTTACATTGCGGGGGGAGGGATCTCCATCGGATTTGGAGATCAAGATTGCAAGTCAATGTGATTAAGTTTACCTTGTGGAGCTGTGAGACAGGGTCGTCCGCATCTAGGAACGCTGTTTGTTTATCAACCTTTCGAATTATCTAAAAACAAACGAGAATTATTTATTAGCATGTACCGTCCAATACATAAACAAGCAAACAGATGAAAATATTCTAAACTATTCCAGTAAGTAAGAAAGACGTACCAGTCTTGGTAAAGCCATGCCAGTTTCAGAACAAACGAGCTTGACAGTTGATCCATAATGTATGTATCCATCTTTGACGGTAAATTCTTCGCTTTCACTTTCATCATCATCTACTATATAACATGCAAAATTTATCAGAACAATACACGATGTGGCCGTTTTGAGTAGATAGTGGAAGTGCCTGAACGAGATGATGGATACGCGATGCTATGATGAGATGATGGAGAAGTTGTCAGGTACATTATGGAATGAAGACATCAGAAGAAGATGTGGAGTGGTAGACATTGCAGAGAAGGCGAGGGAAGCAAGGTTGAGATGGTATGGACACGTGATAAGAAGAGATGAAGGAGAGCTGGTCAGAGACATTATGGAACGAAGAATGAAGAGATCTGAAGAATATGTGGGGTGGTAGACATTGCAGAGAAGGCGAGGGAAGCAAGGTTGAGATGGTATGGACATGTAATAAGAAGAGATGAAGGAGAGCTGGTCAGAGACATTATGGATCCGGGTTAGACAAAGCCTAAGAAGCAAATCAATTTGTACCACTTACGTAAGTGAATCGTGAATGCTCCCCATTGAGTACTACTTGCTCGAAAATTTCCATCCTCTACATGGAGATATCGTGTGCTTACGGTTTGCGATCGTAAACGATTGAATAGTGCGACCGTCGTGCCAGACTGTATACACACTACAAAGAAATGCATGAAATACAAAGTCAGTTCGTTGCATAAATGGAATCTGTGTAGGCTAATCTCAGAAGAGAAAGACGCATACAGCAGCAACCACTAGGCTACAACATCCTCGACTAGACACTTACATTCGGCATTTTTTAGTGACTGCTTCTTCTTCGATGGCTTTGATATCACCTAAGAGACGGCAGAAAATTGACTGTTAAAAAACTTTACAGCACAATTTGAAGTCGAATCGAGGAGTTGAAGACATCAGATTAAGACATTTCTAGACATGTTAAAACACTCACCTTTATTCTTTTCGAGCTAAATATTCCAACAGCATCGCCATTTGGATGATGAAGCTGAAAAATTTGAAAGAATAAATTAGAAAACTAAAACTGAAAAATTTTACAACATCAATGATCATCTACGATCAAAAATACCATGATCCACATACTTTAACAGAGAGTACAAAATTTTTCCTTTTGTCCGTGTCTGATATAAATAACGTTTTCGCAGCACCATAACAGTATTTCTGAAAGAAGAAATGCATGTATAAGCCCAGGCTATGGGGTTGAATGGACTTATTACCTAATGAAAATAATTTTGATCTAGACAAGTCTAGACAAAAACTTTATCACAGCTTGAAAGAGCATCACAAAATTAGTAATATTCCGAAGTTTCGTTGCGAAATGTTGTAAAATGCGGATAATATAGCCCTGCGAAGTTTGCCGTTTTTCAGTCATTTTGTATTTAATACGCGCGGGAAATTGGTACCTTTCTTCAGAAAGCGGTATCAATTTCTCGTGCGTAATACAAAATGACTGAAAAACGGCAAACTTCGCAGGGCTATATTATCCGCATTTTACAACATTTTGCAACGAAACTTCGGAATATTACTAATTTTGTGATGCTCTTTCAAGCTGTGATGAAATTTTTGTCTAGACTTGTCTAGATCAAAATTTTGTTCATTAGGGAATAGGTCCATTAACGAGACCATGTTAGATGGATTATTAACCAGACATTCTGGTTAATTCAACCATATAGCCTGGTCAAATTATACACGAATCCTGGTGTTAAATTAGCCAGGAAATGTTAAACCAGGAGCACTTTCCTTGCGACAGTAACTTCTAGTTTTAGGCTATTCTTAATCAGGGTGTCCACCCTTTGGTGAAGGTGAAATTCAAGGACTTTTCATGCAGGACTTTCAAGGCCCTTTTTCAGTAAATTCAAGGACCTAGAACTGACAAAAAACTTTGGAAATGGCACTTTGATTTGCCGTATTTGCCGTAAATAATCACTTTATTCAGTAATTGTAATCAAAATCACTAATGTGGTCACAGCTGGAGCTTAAGGAAATTAATTCCAGGACTTTCAAGGTCTTCTACTGCTTTTCAAGGACTTTCCAGTGCTTTTCAAGGACTTTCCAGTCCTGGAATTATTTTTTTCCACTTCAAGGACTTTCCAGGATGTCCAAGGGCCGTGGACACCCTGATTTTTAATCAGGGTGTTTTAGAGTGCGCCTAATTCAGTTTTACGAGAAACAAGTAAATTGAAGAAAACGATAATGACGTCGTTTACAGCAAGGCGGACTTTCGTTCTTAATGCTAATCAACCTACCTTATCTACTAAGCGGTCTTCCATTGACAACTGCTGATATTCGTGTTCTCCATGATTTCCACTGGAAATACCAATGAATGCGACAGTCTCCGAGTCTTTATCTCGTTCTTTCGTAGTTGTGCTGTAACTCTTTCGACAATTCCATCCCTGGCCGACCAAGTACACGCAAGGCGGGGGACAGAAGAACCTAAATTGGATTTTTTTATTTAAGAAGATGCTCTCCGAATGTGTGACCACAACGGGCCAGATGAAAATAGGGAGCTTTAAGGCGGTTTTCCACCAGGCGAAATTTTTCGCCCGAATCGAAATTTTCTTTTGTCTTACAAGCACTCAGATGGAACTAAACAGAAATCTTTTGAATTTGATCCACTAGGCGGAATTTTGCGCACGGAACGGAATCTTTCTTTGTCTTTTCTAATTAGTTCCACTCGAGAAATCACAAGACAAAGAAACAGTTCCGCTCCGCGCGCAAAATTTCGCCTAATGAAAACCGGCTGATTTCCACTGTTGCCGTTTTTCGTATGCATCTAATTATTCTGCAATTCAAAAATTGAAGCCGTGATTGCAGTCTCAGTTCGTTCCCATGAAATGAGAAGATTCGTATGCTTTCTATTTATTAAACAGGGAACTTAAACATTAAGTTAACCCTATTCCAAATACGCTTTTAAACTATACAAATGATGAAAGTTATTGTTGTTTTTAAGCGTTTATTAGCAAGTGGGAACGACCAACATGGCCGCCATCTATTCAAATGGGGGTAACCGCTGGAATATTGTTGGCTTCAATTTTACTAAAAGAGATGCGCTATCTAGTGTATATAAGATATCTATGGTTGTTACATGTGTTGGAGACTGTTATTGTTATTGTTGTTATAGACACAGAATTTTCCAGAACATTCTGTAAATATTCAATATAAATATAATATCTCAGTCAAACAATGACAACAGGGGCCCCCACACCAAATATGCCTAAGGGTCCCCTCTTCCTCCGTTACGCCACTGCCTATTATATATATATATATATATATATATATATATATATATATATATATATATATATATATATATATATATATATATATATATATATATATATATGTATATATATGTATATATATATATATATATATATGTATATATATACCGGGTGGCCCAAAAAAAAGTACTCCTGTTTGATTCGTAATAACTTCTAAACAAGTAAAGTTTTTAAAGAGAAATAACTTGCATTAAATAGAGTGAGGACTAACTTAGATTTTGATATATTACAGTTGTATTTAACTTTAAAATTCACGGATATATTAATGTTAAAAATGGGGAGCATATTTTGGAATGTGTCTAAAATTAGCGAAAATCGGCATATCAAATATTAACTCCAGCGTTTGTTTGCTTAATGACATATTAGGCTAACTTGTATTTCAGCGAATTATCGTTAGGGTTTGTAAGGGATATGGCGTAGATTTAGACATTTTACATGTAAGTCTTAGCTCATTGTTTCCTGAAATATGAACGTTCGAAATTATGCAAGTATTTAATATTAGGTCTTTGCAAACTTAAATGTACATGAAAGACTGACCATGGAAGGCAGGCGCTTAAATTTTTCGTATTCTTAAATAGCCTAATTTTTTTATGTTTTTAATGGTTCAAACAGACTGAGTAGATTATTTCTCGGTTAGAGCAGGATGAATATTCTTTATTGAAGGAAATAATATTGCTTTTTGCAAATACACATCACCGTATCAACGCTACTATTTTGTTATGTTTTGTTCCAAAAATGTTGCATGTCTCTGGGGAGTTGCTTAATTGTTATGTCTTATGGAGTTGTATGGTTTGATTGTGTTTCATATAATTCTCAGTTTACTCCATGAACTTGCCAAGATTAAGAAACGGTAAAAGAGTTTGGGTGTTCTTAACAAGATTTCAGAACGTTGCAGAAGTTAGAAGAGCTTCACAATTCCGTTGTGACAGCATGCCCTAATTCAGAACTACGAACGATCCAATGTCGATCCTTCGCGATGCAGTGGTCTCATGAAATAAGGAAACGTATTCGTGCTAGGAACACACGCGAATTTCGGACGAATGAATCTTGCTTGTATTTTGTAGATATAATAATACTTTGTTTCATAATAAACAATTTGTCAAGTGTCATTTATTTACTGGTAATAGTGCATGCTTCAGTCGGGCAAATCTTGATTAATATTTGATACGCCGATTTTTGCATATTTCAGACACATCCAGAAATATCCTCCCGAATTTAAAGATTAATATCTCCGTTAATTTTTAAGTGAAATACAACTGTAATATATCAAAGTCTAAGTTAGTCCTTCCTCTATTTGATGCAAGTTATTTCTCTTTAAAAGCTATACTTGTTTAGATGTTATTACGAATCAAACAGGAGTACTTTTTTTGGGCCACCCGGTATATATATATATATATATATATATATATATATATATATATATATATATATATATATATATATATATATATATATATATATATATATATATATATATATATATATATATATATATATATATATATAAAATCCACTAGGCATCTTTAATAATAAATAGTTTCGTACCACAGTATGTGGCACTCTTCAGATAAATTGACCTAATGACTATAGACTAAAACTTACAAGGTTATATGTACAAGTGGATGAGACATGAAACTTAATCCTATTTACAAAGCACGCGATTTAATAAACATGTTATATGATAAGCCGACAGGACGCGGAAAGATTAAGACACCGCGGTATATTTAAATGTCTAGGTTTTAAATGTTACTTAAAAGGATGCGTACATGCTGATACTAACTCATTACGTTTGTTTAAAGTGGCTATTTTGGGATTACAAATAATAAAGTATTTCTCCCATAAACACAAATTACATCTATTTGAAGCACAGTTATAAGGCTTAGCTCGTTTCAATAGTTTCCACTTGATTGTATAATGGATGTTTCGATTGTTCAATTCCCACACATATTTGCTAAGTTTAGTAGCGTAGTAGTAAAATATTCTTATACTATATGGTGGATTATACTATACCATATAATCTTACTTTTACGGTTTTGCATGGGTTTTGTTATTAGTCGTCATAGGTATAGGGTGTGTTTAAACTGTAGCTTGTGGTTGTATCTACTTTTGTCAAGGGCTTGTTGATATGGCGTGGAGGCTTGTTCGAGTGAATCTTGATCAGAGGATATCTCGGTTAGTCGATTGTTAATGGATAATAGAATATTACGCAGAACGCTAGGTGGGTGGTTAGACTTGCTATGCACATAAAAAGGTGTGTTGTTAGGCTTAGAGTATGGATGATATATATACCAGTGGATAGATTCAGTGTGACGTCAAGGATACGGAACTGTAACCAGTGAACTATATACATGGAAAGCTGACTTCAGTCATTGACGTAATCAAAAAGTGAAGCCAAAGATGGCGGATTTTGAAGCCATTCTTGCGCGTCATTCTCAGTCCCCTACCCGCGCGGCCAAACATTTTTTGTATTTTCATGGCGGGAAGTGATGGGTCCGCGATTCTCGGGTTGTGTTTTTCTTCATTTTAAAAGAGCAAAAGAGGAAATAAACTTCATTTATTTCATGTAAACCTGATTTCCTTCATCTACTCGATCTGTCTACTGCATTTTCCCACTGTATGTGTGAGTAAATCTGTATTTTTCGTTGCGAATTCAACAACTAATTTCAAACTTTTTTGTTTTTTTGATATAAAATCTGTATTTTTATAAATTGGCAATTTATTTTTGCTTTGGTTGTTTCGTTTTCTTGTTTCTATGGTGCTTTTCAGTTTTCACACCATTATTTGGCTTATTTTAGTCGGTTTTCCTGACCTAAAACTGCTTTTTAACTGCAGTTTTCGAGGCAGTTTTTAGCCAATTTAATTCAATACATGTTAGAAAATTTTGTTTTTCTATTTTCTATTTAATAAAATCACTTTGATGTTTGCCTTATAAACTTAAACTGTTCATTTTAATGAGTTATTCATGTGTGTGAAACTCTTGTCGATAGGGGCAATAGAGATATTTTGAAAGATTGAGTGACTTTGTGGGGTTTTTTGTCACTCCTTGTCATTTTACAAAAACAGCAATCCCGCGCTATTTTGCTTTCTTTCCACTCAAATATCACATCTCCTAAACAAATAATAATTAAAATTTATAACCGAACCCAAACAAAATACCAGAATTCAAATTTTCATTCAAATTTCGTCTGTTTTTCACCAGATTTTTACTCGGGAAGTAAAGAAAAATATAAAAGTTTTGTTGACCGCGCACGTAAGGGGACTGAGAATGGCGCGCAAGAATGCCTTCAAATTCCGCCATGTGGCTTCACTTTTTGAGCTCGAGTCAGACTTCCATGTTATATAGTTCAGTGACTGTAACAAAAAATGGCCAAATCTATCGAATTCATATCCAGTCGATGGTGGTAGATGATTTCGAGGTAGATATTGATTGTATCAATGGAGGGAAAGAGGTTCTTACCTAGTTACCTAATCCCAAGGTGAAAGATCTGAAGAAGAGTTCCAGGCCCCTTCAAAAACTACAACTGTGTGATGAGGAGACCACTGACAGACAAATACCTGTGCACATAATCTTTGGAGCAGCAGATTATTAACGGATAAGGTCAGCTGAGCAACCCATCCTTGGAGAGAATCCGGATACAGATCCTGGAGCAGAGTTCACGATGCTTTGATGGGCTCTGTATGGCAAGATTGTCCCGATGGAGTTTTCCGAGAAAGGTCTCTTTCTAAACAGCCAGAGTAAATTCGAGAAGTTGTGTTCAGTGGACGTGCTGGGACTAGCGGAGAAGTTGGAGACAGCCACAGAATTTCACAAGGACTTTATCGAACACTTGGATTAGACGGAGAAGGGCTTTTATCAAACTAATCTGCCATGGAGACCAGACCATCCAACGCTACCGGTGAATAGAGAACTGGCTGTAGCGCGATTGAGGAGTACAACAAGAGACTAGAGAAACTTGGAAAACTGGAAAAAATACCACAGTGTGATGGAAGAACAGTTGCGTGAAGTGATTCTTGAATCAGTGCCTCCAAAACGAACGGGGGAGGTGGTACACTACATTACACATCAACCGGTGATTCGAGAAGATTCGGAGTCAACTAAATTCAGAATCGTGTATGACTGTTCTGCAAAAGCTGATCCTCAATTACCATCCCTGAACGATTGCCTCGAGAAAGGACCGTCCTTACAGCCACTGTTGTTCGACATCCTCTTCAGAAATCGACTCAGAATTACTTGCATCACGGGTGACTTAAAGAAAGCCTTTCTACAAGTACGAGTCAACCAGGAACACCGTGACGCACAGAAAATGTTGTGGTACAACAACGTGGAAGAGAGAAAATCGTCGAATACCGGTTTACAAGAGTGATTTTTGGAGCTGCACCAAGTCCTTATATCTTGGGGGCAACCTTACAAAAGCACGTGAAACAGTTTCAAGACGAATATCCAGAGACAACAAAAGCCTTACTAGAACACCTACGTGGACGACGTACAAAGCGGAGGAGATTCGATCAGTGAACTTGAAACGTTTAAAAAACAAGCCACGACGAGGTGGATTCACTCTACATAAGTGGCACAGAAACGTTGAGGAGTTGGAGTCCATTTCAAACGAGACTGCGAAAGGTGATCAAGATGCCAACACGAAAGCTTACAGTGAGTCAACGACAAAGATCCTCGGTGTTCCTTGGGAGAAGAAAACGGACGTTGTTCGAGTTAATCTTGAAGCTTGTCAACTCACAGTTTCACCATTGACTAAACGTATTGTCAGCGATAAACGGTGTATACGATCTGCTTGGGTGGGCTTCGCCGGTGATGATTACTGGGAAGATCTTGTTCAGTGAACTTTGTTTGCGTAAAGTTTCTTGGGACGAACAAGTACCTGATGACATAGTGCGACGTTGGAACCAATGGCTAAAACACGTCGTGAATGTACCGAGATCAAAGCTTCTTCGAAGCGTGGTAAACAACAAGAGTCAACAGATTTCAATACATGGTTTGCCGATGCAAGCCAACTAGCAGTATGTGCAGCAGTCTACGTTCTAGTCACCTACAACGATGGGAAAACATGTCATAACCTACTAGTTTCAAAGTCTCGTGTAGCCCCGAAGAAGGTTTCTATACCAAGCCTAGAACTTGTTGCTGCCCACACGCTCGCCAAGCTGCTAGGTCATGTGAATCACTCCCTCAGTTCGTTGGATATTCTGAAGGAAAATCAATTGTGGTCGGACAGTTTGACAGTCTTGTACTGGTTGGCAAATATGGGAACATCTTCTATGTACGTGCGGAATCGAGTGAAAGCAATCCATGATCTGGGGAATTTCACCTGGGATTAAGTACCTACAGATCAAAACCCCATCGATTTGGGTACTCGTGGAGTCGCACCACGGAAGTTAGGAGAATTTTGCTTGAAAGGTCCAGCATGGTTAACAGACAGATCGTTGTGGCCAGAGCAACCTGTAATTACGGAAACTAAGGAAGCGTCATGTGAAACCTTACCAGCCAAGAAAGAGAAAGTACTTCTCGAGAACGAAGGGGGAGCGACGAACGAACGAAAAGAATGGGTCGAGAACATCCTTAGGAAACACAAGTACTGGAAGCTTCTTCGCGTTACGGCCTACATGCTGAGATTCGTGAAAAATTGCAGGCGAAAGGAGCAACGAAAGGGACCACTGACAACGGACGAGATCACAGCAGCGGAAAATCGGTGGCTGAAAATCGCGCAGGAAGACGAAGAAGTAAATTGCCCTTTCCCGTTAAAGAAATACGATGTCGGATTGTGGAGATGTCATGGTCGCGTCGCGAGCTACCATCCTGTGTTCATATCTCGAAAACACGCACTTGCAGAGGTGATAATCGAACATGGCCACAAAGAGACCTTACACGGGGGAGTGCAGGAAACGATGTGCAAGGTACGGGAACGGTTTTGGATCCCTCAACTACGGCGAATGACGAATCAGTACGGTTTAAATGCAACAGATGCAAGAAGATAAGAGCCAAACCCCAACCTACTCCTACCACATCTGCATTACCAGAGCATCGGACCCAAAACAAGAATTCATTTTCCACAACGGGCGTTGACTTTGCTTGGCCAATGTACTATAAGAAACAAAAGAACTCGGCCGCGAAGGCTTATGTCGTTCTGGTTACTTGTGCGTGCACACGTGTGGTGAATCTCAAACTACGCAGAAACCTTAGCACGGATGAGTTGAAGATGTCGTTGAGAGAGTTTGTCGCAAGCCGGGGTTCTCCGAAACTAATGGTGAGCGACAACGCGAAGACATTCGCGTCCGCCAAGAAATGGTTAGAGACACTTCAACGAGATGAGGAAGTCAACAATTACGTAGCGAGGCAATCCATAAAATGGAAATTCAATCTATATATACGTGCACCCTGGTCGGGCGGGTTCTTTGAACGGTTAATTGGTATCATAAATCAGCGTTATCGAAGGTCGTTAGATAGAAAGATAGAAAAACTTTATTTACCCACGCTAACCCTATTAACCGAAGCTGATTTCCATAGGGGGAGTGTCATGCATAAGAAAAATTACAGTAGTTTAAGAAAATATTACATAAATATAGTTATTTACAAATATGAGGTATAGTAACAAGAAGTACAAATTAGCTAGATAGTAGGAATGGTAGAATAATTATTTACAAGTAGTAGAACAAGTAGTCTTAGAAAATATGAGCAGCAATTTTCTTTTGAAAGCTTGACAGGGATTGACTTTCCCTGATTTCATTTGGGGTAGAGTTCCATAGTTTAGCACCATCATACATGAAACTATTTTTCATGCTATTGGTGCGTGGTTGTGGTAGACAAAGACCAGATGAAATATTTCGAAGATTATAATCTGTTATCTCATTTTTATAACGAAAGAGGTTTGTGAGAGATTCAGGGCCTGTTTTATTTAGAGTTTTGTACATCATTTTTGCTTTTCCTTTTTCCTCATAATATCAAGTGGCTCCCAGCCCAAGGCACACAAAGCAATAGAGTGATCTACATCATTACTCATGTTTGAAATTATTCGGCAGCTCAGTTTTGGAGCTTTTGTAGTCGTTTTGATTGTATTTCACCCAATACATCTCAAACTTCTGAACAATAGTCGAAGTAGGGACATACGATGGCATTGTATATGGAGGTGAGCGTATCTCTTTCAGCAATAAATGGTTTGACACGACGTAGAGCTGAGATTCCTGATGCTATTTTTTTGCAAATATTTTCAGTATTGGGTTTCCAAGATAAATGCTGATCAATAATTATTTCTAGAGTTTTGGCTTTGTTTACTTGTTGGATTTGTTTGTTTTCAATTAGGATATTTGGTTGAGCATTAGAGGCATTCCTTATCATTTGTGGAGACCTAATCAACATAAATTCAGTTTTAGCTACATTCAAGCTAAGTTGATTGGCTATTAACCAGTTTTTGAGGTTTTTCAGATCAGAATTTGCTGCAGTCTCAATATCAGCTATGGTGTGACTAGTGGCTGTGATGTTTGTGTGATCAGCGAATAACCGAGGTCTTGTATTTTTTAGACATTCGGGTAAGTCGTTGATATACAACAAGAACAGTAATGGCCCCAAAATAGAACCTTGTGGTACACCACATTTAATCAAATGTTCTGATGAAATAAAATTGTCTATTTGACACTTTTGGTGTCGGTTTGAAAAATATGATTTTAATAAGTCATGGGCTTGACCTGTTATTCCATAAAATTCCAGCTTTTTCAGTAAAATGTCATGGTTGACAGTATCAAATGCTTTTTTTAGGCCTATAAAAACTACGAGGTTAAACATTTTCTTATCTATATTCACATACCACTCGTTTGTAAAATCTAAAAGAGCTGTTGCTGTAGAATGAGATTTTCGGAAACCAAATTGATTATTACTGAGTAGTCTAAATTCAGTTAAATAATCATAAAGTTGATTGTATAAAATTCGCTCCATTATTTTGCTTATAGTTGGTAGAATTGAAATGGGTCTATAATTGCCAGGAATATTTCGATGGCCATTTTTGTAGAGAGGTATTAATCTTGCCACTTTCCAGTCATCAGGAAAGGAGGATAAAGTAATAGCTTGATTAAAAATATATGTAAGTGAATCTGCAATGGCAGGTGCAGCTATTTTAATAATTTTACACGATATTTTGTCAATGCCAGTTGCTTTGTTGCTAGATAATGCACTGAGCAACTGGTAGACATTATTAACATTTGTAGGTTGGAATGCAGCAAATTCTGATTTAGCCTTTTTGATATGCGACTCAAAATTGCAATTTGTTGTGTGTATTTGGCTCGCTAGATCTGGGCCAATGTTTGAAAAATAACTGTTAAAGCCCTCTGCAATATCTTTTGGATTGTTTAGAACATTCTCTCCTAATTTGAGTTCATTTACTTTTGAATGTTTGTTTTGTTTGCCAAGCAAATTATTAATTGACTTCCATGCTTTCCTTGGGTTACATTTTTGATCAGCAAGTTTTGAAGAATAATAATTCTTTTTGGCATTTCTTAGTTCAATGTTGACTTGATTTCTAACTTTTTGTAGTTTGACCAATCAGTCTCTAACTTTGTGATAATTGCTTTTCTTTTCAGTTTGTCTCTTGTATTTATGAGACCCTTAATGTTGTTCGTTATCCAAGCCACTTTACTAGACTTAGTTTTTTTGTGTTGTAATGGAGCATGTTTGTTCAGAACTTCTAGAAAAAGTTCTTTCCATAATTCCCACATGGTATTTGGATTTTTACCGAAAAAGTAAATGTATTCCCAATGTTGATTAAGAAGCTCATCCATAAAATTCTTTTCATTGAAGTTTTTCATATTTCTAATTTCAACAAAATCATTAGTTTTATGAAAAACTCCAATTTTTCTGATTGCATAGACTAAACTGTGATCACTTATTCCAGTGTGTACAACACCATAGTGTGAAATTTTCTCAGGTGTATTCGTAACTACATGGTCAATAAGGCTAGATGACCTCATAGTAACTCGAGTTGGTTCATTTATCAACTGGGATAGTTGGTATAATTCGTATATTGAATATAGTTTATTTGTTGGCATACTGAAAAGGTTTTTTTTCCTCTAACAAATTGCAATTTAGGTCACCTAAAATGTACATTTCTTTATTCTCATCATCAATTTGTTTAATAAGTTTTTCCAAATGGTCAAAAAATTCAGCAGTTGCATTTGGCGGTCTGTAAATTGTAGTGACAACAAATGGTTTACTTTGTGGTTTAGTAATTTCTAAACAAACGGCCTCCAATTCAGGGGTAACGAGATCTGACCTTATTTTATAGTTGATGGAGCTACGAAGGTATATACAAACTCCGCCTCCATTGCGGGAACGATCTTTTCTAACAACCTCATAACCATCTAAATGAATGAGGCCATCAGAAATACTCAGGTCTAGTCGTGTCTCGTTGAATGTAATTAAATCAATGTTTTTGCTACACATTGGAAAGGCTACGCTCACTTTCGCGGAACTCAAAGATACGTTGTTAGACATCGAATGTGTTATGAACAATAGATCACTTGTATATCTGGGAGAAGGACTCGAAGGGCGTACGGTAACTCCAAACATCCTGCTTGGAAGGGAACCAGTAACAAGTCTGGAGGAAAACGTCGAAGAGTTGGAAGAAGAAGCAGACGTAACGCGGCGACTGAAGTATTTAAAGCGTTGTCGAGAGCAGCTATGAAGACGCTGGATCAACGACTATTTACGTGCACTTGATGAGAAACAGAAAGGAACCGCAAATCAAGGTGCAACATTGTTGGAAACCGGGCGAGTTGTCTTGATAAAGGATTCACTGAAGAGAAGTGCAAAATGGAGAATTGGACGGATCGAAGGAACGGTCATAGGAAAGGATGGAGTCGTGAGGGGCTATAAAGTACGAACTGGGAATGGGTATCTTGTGGAAAGGCCAGCGGAACTGGTGGCTGATCTAGAAATTGGTGGTGATAGTCCATCGACGACAACGATAGAAAACGTGACACACGAAAGCTGAACCCAGATGTGAAGGAATTCCAACCAAGAAGATCAGAACGAAAGGCGAAGGAAACCGCTCGATATAGAGTAGTTGGAATTGCGTTGAATGAACTAGATGAGGACTAGAAATGTATTAAAGCTGCATTTCGTGACACTTTAATGGGGGGAGAGTGTTAAAAATTCGTTAGTTAATAATTAAAGGGAAAACTTTGTTGTTTTGGGATATCGGGGGACCTTAGGTTTCGCTTTCTAAATATGGTAATGTTTGGGAACAATCTGACCAACCAGGAGTAATTAGAAGTAAGCGGAATAATTTGTGATTCAGTTGTTGTTGAAGGGAGAAAAGTTGAGAGAATTCCCTGGAAAATAAAACGTTATAAAACCATAAATTGGAGGTGTTAATTTACGTATTTTTCTGTGTTGATGCGAGGCCGGATTTCCGACATAAGTTGCTGTCAACATACCACATGTGTATACACTAATTTATTGTAAATCAGTGACACTGTGAGTGACTGTGAGTAGTGACAATTAAAATAAACAAATGGTGCTGATAAAAAGCTTCCATAATAACATAATAACTGCAAACACGGATTATGCGAATTTTCTGAATTGTCAGGAGTTTTGCTCAGAACTTGCTAAATTCCAATTGACCACGGACGAGGTCCTTGCTTATCTGAATTCTTTGGATACATCTAAAGCATGTGGCCCTGATGGGATACCAGCGCGTTTACTTAAAGAGTGCAGTTTCCAGATAGCACCCAGTTTGTGTGGTTTGTTTAACTATTCGTTACATATAGGACGTCTTCCGTCAGAGTGGAAAGCAGCTGACATCACTCCAATACATAAAAAAGAATTAAGAGAACCAGCTGAAAATTATAGACCCATATCTCTTCTTCCAATTATAGCCAAAGTCTTGGAACGTTGTGTGAGTAAAAGGTTATATGATCACGTAATAAATGCTATTTCTCCACAACAACATGGTTTTGTAAGGAATCGTTCGTGCGTAACTCAACTCTTACAAGTGCTTCATTTAATCGGACAAAACCTAGACAAAAATATCCAAACAGACATACTATATTTAGATTTCGCCAAAGCCTTCGACTCCGTCGACCATAATTTGATAATTGAAAAGCTTAAGTTTTTGGGGGTTAAAGGGATGGTTCTCAATTGGTTTCGAGACTATCTTAATAATCGGACTCAAAGGGTTGTCATGGAAGGGGTATGCTCTGGCTGGACACATGTGACTTCTGGTGTGCCTCAGGGCAGCATACTGGGACCTTTGCTGTTTGTTATTTTCATAAACGATCTTCCGAATGCTGTGCCACAGACTACGAAAGTTGCGCTATATGCTGACGACACCAAATCATTCCGAGAAATAACTTCCGAAGGTGATTCTTGTGACTTACAACAAGCTCTATCTAATTTGTCGACCTGGAGTAGCAACAACAACATTTCTTTTAACGAGTCGAAATGCAAGACGATGACGGTTACTAGGAAGAAACAACCTATCCCCTTTATCTATCATCTTGACCTGTTTCCTATCAATAAAGTACAAGAAGAAAAAGATCTCGGTGTACTAATGACCAGTAGCCTATCATGGGATTCCCACATCCAAAGAATATCTGCGAGAGCTAATAGAATGCTCGGGCTACTGAAAAGAACCTGCCCTCTCTTGACTCAAGTGCATGTCAGGAGAACTCTGTATTTGGCCCTTGTCAAATCACAAGTATGCTACGCAAGTGAAGTCTGGTCTCCTCACCTAAGTAACCTGAAAATCAAATTAGAGCAAATACAAAGGCGTGCCACTAGATGGATCCTGAAAGTAAATGTGGGAGATGTTCCGTATCGAGACAGGTTATCTGTTCTAAATATGTTACCTTTATGTTACGATCGAGAAATAAGAGACTTGATGTTCTTCTATAAAGCTCTCCATGGATTTTACGACTTAAATGTGGAGGACTTTGTCTCCTTTGTCACTCATGGGCGAACACGTCTCAGTAGTAATTCCACCCTTGTTTTAAAAATACCATATTGTAAAACAACTGCATTTCAGGCCTCATTTTTTAATCGAATTGTAAAGATATGGAACTATATATGCAAAGTTGCCACATGTAGCAGCTTTACTAGTGTCACCACTTTTAAAACTTTCTTAATCAATCATTATAATGAACTTTTATTGAATGTTTTTGATGCAAATTTGACATGAACTTGGTCAGTTGTTAGAGACTGTGCTTGTCACAGGAGTTAAAGCACGTTTACGCATTACGACCGGTCGGAGTACCTCTTTTATGATTGATGCCACCAAATGACGTTTTATCTGGCTTACAAAGAATTATTTTAACATAGGTCCTATCACTTTGGCCTGAATGTGTGTAAACGTGCTTTCAACGATTTTAAATTTTTAATTTTATGTAAATTTGTAATTGTCGACAGAAGTCAAATCGGGAGGTAGCCTCGCATGGGCTATTATGGCCCGTTCGCTATTTTCCCGTTTAGGAACTGCATCCTTGTTGTATTTGTACCTTATTAATGTAATATTAAGTTCCTAATAAAGCTGTTAAAAAAAAGTGCCCAGTGTTAGGTTCTTATTGCGCTTTCCATTAACATGGTGAGACCGGTTAAATTGTTGAATGGTACACAAAACATTTAGGCTTCTGACCTATCTGCCTGGAAAATTTAGATTTTTGATTTTTGACTAGATATTTAATTTGAGAAACATAGACCAGATCTTTCCATTGATACAGAGAAAAGCATTTGGGTCTGACTGGTCAGGCCATTAAATGTAAAGCGCCCTTAGATTTTGGAGTTTACTGTAATTAATTTTAAAATCCAATTATATTTGTTTCTTGTGCTTTTGTAGCCATTTGAAGAAATTTCTCATGTTGATGGTAGTTGGCGAAAGAACAATATCAAGAAAATGGTCGTGATGTTGACAAGCTATCATTACAATACTCGGAATTCTAGCAAATTGCATGTCAATTATAGTAGAACTAATTATGCAAAACATACTATTGTTAACAAGGGAGTTAAAATATGGAACTCTCTTGATAAAGGAACTAGCAATACTATGTTTTATTCTACTTTTAAATTAAGAAAAAGTTGAAAAGCCTTTTCTTGGAATATACCTAACGGCTTTCATTTGTAATCTTACATAATAAACTCTTGCGTATATTTATATTCAAATCACTATATTTGTAAATACTCTTACTTTGTCTTTGACAAGATTGAACAAGCTTTAACTATTTTTTATATAATAATTAATATTGCTAAACTAGGGGCCTTTGAATAAAAGCCTGATAGGGTTTCATAAATTAGGTTCCTAGCCCCTAATGTTTGTAAAAATATAGATTGTAAATATATTTAGCTTTATATGGGCAAAATAAAAAAATATTCAAATTAAAAGCTATAATAACAAAAGGCTTCAAATTTCTTAGATATTGGAACATCATCAACTTGTCTTCATTTGACTTATTACTGATGGCTGTGGTTATTGGACATTTTTTTATATGTGACGCCTTTGGCTGCATGATTTGCTTGATGAAACCCACAATGCCCTTACCATTGCCTTTGTGGTCATGTTTGCCCCCACACCTTCCCATCTGGCAGATTTCCTGGGCCATATCACAAATTATACTCATGCCTTGACCACAATTCCAGTTTATTACAAACTGTCCTTCTGACAATTTGTGGCAACCTGGTAATACTGGTGAACATTATAATAGAATAGTTCTGGCAAGAACTTGATGACTTGAAATACTGTAATAGTCATTGGAAATACCAAAATGTTATTGTACAATTTCACATTGAGTTCCATCAGAGAGAACAGTTATCTGTATGCGCCTTTCCTGACATATGAGCAACTTGATCAATCTGTTCCTAACCCTGAACCCGGCAGATATATTTTGCAGAATGTAGAACGCTACTTCTGTATCTTGCTCAGTATTTACAGGGTTAGGAAACTAACTCTAACTCTTTCAGAAAGCTATTACTTATCAACTCTGAGCAAAAGTACATAAGCCGCGTTCTGCAAATTACACCATCGTCCGTGGGCTTACGAGAAGGAAAAAATTAGGGGGGGGCGGAAAGAAATTTGCCCGACTTTTTCGAATTGTGCCTGAGCTGTCAAAAATATTTCCGGAGAGACTTTCCAAAATTGTGGCCGACGGAACGGGGAGGAGTGATTACGATAACATTTTATTAGAGAGCATATTTCCCACAAAATTGAAAATTTTCTCACAAAATTGACAGAATTTGTCCCATTTATTTTCATAATAAGCTAATATTGCCCGACTGAGAAGCCAACAAGCTGGGGACGCCGGTACGTCCATGCCCGCCTCCCTGTAACTAACCGGAATTGTATGTGATAATATTCCGGCTGCTCACATGCTGAGAGAGTGCTGTAATATACTGTTACTGCATAAAAATATCAGCGGTTTATACCTGATATGATATATTATGTATAATATATTAAATAAAATTCAAAGGGAAGTATGTTAATAATTCAATATTAGGTCAATACTTGAAATAAATATTAAACTTAAATATTAGACTGTATAATTGTCAGCCAAATCATTATAATTTAGATTGTCATTTGTATATAATATATGTGGTGTACGATGATTTACTGTAATCCATCTTAAAATATATTTGGAGGTGAATAATTGTTTTCACACATAAATTTTCACACAAACATGCATAAGCAATTACTTTCAAGTTGTACTAAAAGTATATACAGAGTATATAAAGCTCAGAACAGCTGAACTCAGTTTCAAGTTGTACTAAAAGATCAGAAGTATATAAAGCTCGGAACAACATGTGGGACAGGTGTGCCAGCATTATTAAAATGTGACAATACATTCGATCACAATTCGCTTTATATATAATTTAAAACAATTCTTAAACATACAAAACTTGAGATATTCTCTCTCAAAAACATTTCATAAGAACATATTTACGGTAATCTTCTTTTATCTTACATAATTGAGCATATTTCATGTCATAAATGTTGCGATATCGATCAACAGAATGAGCGATTTCATTCTTTCGATGAATAAACAGAACAGCAGCATGCGAACAGGCTCTTTTTGATAATTCAACCCCCCCCCGGGAAGATACAACATATTACGTAATGCTCCACAGCCTTTGCCAGGGTTCTCTTTAGCCCGCGGCCACAGAAAGAGGACCCTGGGTACGAGGTTGACAAAATTGCTCGTTATAAATTGTATGAAATTCCATGTCTTAAACA